CTGCATGATAAATTTATGTGTGTGTGTGTGTGTGTGTGTGCTGCATGATAAATTTATTCCAAGGTTGAAACAAAATTATACGGTGACTAACAGATTTGCTATCATGTAGGAATATTTTTAAGTCATCTCACATGTAGGGAATGTCACAGGACATTTGAGAAACAATTGATAGCACCAAAGTGCAGATATTTTCTGGCCTTGAGAGAATAAGAAGATAACCTGCAAAAGTGATAAGCTTATTTAAAAGTGTAGTTCAACAAAGAAATGTGTTTCCAAAGTTAGGTATGATTTAATTGCCCAGTAAGAAGTTAACCAATCATCTATTTAGTTTAGCGATTTAGTTTTATGTTACTTTTTCAAATGAGTATGGATGTTGTTGTGTAAATGCTCTTGGAACAAGCTTTCTCCTCCTAGTTTCTTCATATTGAGTAAAATAAAACTTTGGGTTGTGCTAATGGCCTTAAGAACTTTGGTTTGATGGGGTCTCTTTTTTTCTGTTTTTTGTTTGTTTTTTGCCCCCAACAACAAGTACACAGTATGACTCTTTTGAACTATTATTCCAGAAAGGTTGCAAATTCAGTGGCCTGGAAGGGTAAAATTTGTAAGGTGAGTTGAATGTAAAATGGCGAATACTTCACAATTCACGTTTTAGTCATTTTAATACTGACTAGCTACACCGTTTTAAAAACTCTTGCAGTAGCAAAATAAAAGAGTATTTGCCTATAGTTCCAGTACTGGGGCCTATGGATCAGTTTACTGTCATGCTTCCTAAACCCTTCAGTATAACTAAAAGCCCTGCAGGTGAACAGTCCTTTAGAGCACATTTCCAGAGTCAAATTCATACAACCAGAATAGAGCTCAATGTAATCACCATTTCTTGCCTTCCCAAAACATGGCTTTTGTTGTTGTTGTTGGTTGTGGGGCTTGAACTCTGGGCCTGGGCGCTGTCCCTCAGCTCTTCAGATCAAGGTGAGTATACAACCACTTGAGCTACAGCGCCACTTCCAAAACATGTCTTTCTTAACATTAACACATATACCTACTCCAGATAGATACTACTTTCTTTTCTATTCTCCACTGTTCTTTCTTTATATCTCCCTAACACATCTCTGATTTGGCAAGTATTTGTTTACATATCCATCTTCTTGGCTTAACCTTCTGAGGTTCAGATTCAAGCATAAATCCCAAAACAAATGTATTTGTGGTAGACACTCAGTTTGGCTTGCTAACCTTAATTTTTCCTTGTAATGAGGTCCTTCAATCAGAGATAATATGATAGGAAAACCAACTGAATCAACCTGAATCTGAAACCTGGAAACCAGCTTCCCAGCCACAAGTAAAGCATAACTAGGCTATAGCAGGTGCCACCTTTATATTCCTTTTCCCATAACCTTTCCATCTCTGTAAAACTTCCTTGAGAGTTCAATAAAACCAGGATGGTGAGTAGGGTCTATTAAAACATCAGACAGTGTGATGTTATGACATCATCTTAGTCAGAGGGAAAGTCTCACCTCAGATTTGTTCCCACAGCACAAAAAGCAATTAATTCCTATGTTGATGACAGACTTCAGAGTTAAGTCTTAGAGGTACCAAAAACTTAAGACTCAAATCTAATCACTTCATTTACAGGTTCCAAGAACTTACATCTACTGATACTTTACAAACAACATCTCCAGTTACAATTTGAGAAAGAGCATAAAATGTAACTTAAAAGCAATGTCTTTTAAACTTTAATTTTATAAGAATGTATGTCTAAAACATGCCCAAACTGACCCAGAAAATATACCTTGTCAGGGAGCAGCCTATTTTCTTCCTATGTTGAAAATAATCTGAGGCCCAGAATTTGGAAATACTGCCTTAAAATATTTGACTACCCAACCCCTCATTTTACAAATGAGAAAGATGAGGTCAAGAAAATGGAGCACTTCCAACATATCAGCATACAAACACCATTAAGTCATTATCACTAGATCTTTTGGGTTCACTGAAATAAAACCAGAAATTCAGAACATTTGATTAGGTATGAGAAGCCCTGACATACAGTCCCCTCAAATGAAGAAATGCAGAGGTTTGAGCATGTTCACCTGATGCCTGGGCCTGGTAGAACCCTCCTAGGATTCAATATATCTTCACTGGAAGAACCTCTGAGGAATCTGTATATCCTCATCACAGAAGGAGAAAAGCACAAATGTTTTCCTTGCTGCTCCAGACCTGCATAGTGTTTGGCTTCAGGATTTGTTTCAACGAAATGCGTTCAAACCACAGAGGAAGAAAGGTTGCTTAAGATGCTAATAAAATGCATTGTATAATGTATACATGTAAAACCAGGACTTCCAATGGGGCCACCCTTTATTACCTGGATCATGGAGGTGGTATAGTTCTCTCTCTGAGAAGGGAGGAGTCCTGGGCCTGTGTTTTCTTTCTCTGTGCTCACTTTGCCCATGGTCCCTCCCATATACAGCTTCCTTGTAGTGAAGCCCCGATTTCTGTGAGGACTTGGGTGAAAGTGGGTCTTGGTGTCGGGACTGCTTTTCTCGATTCCGAGTTTGATGGCCAGTGTTAGCATTGCAGTCATCACACCCAGAGCTCAGAAACACCTCACCACTAATCCTGGGAAGAGGAGGTCTCCGCAACCTCTCTTGACCAGACCGTTTCCTTTCGTGCTGCTCCCTGGTAATTTGGGGATCATCCCTTACTTTTCTCCAATTAGCAGATGTCAGGGATGTCTCTGATGAACCACGTTCTTCCAGCTCTTCCAAGCCCTCTAGTGGATGTCTTGCTTTCTCCTTCATCTGCTTCACAGTTTGTGCATCATTTTGTGGTCTATGAGATCTTGAGCATCCAGAACCCAATTCCCTGGCCCTCCTTGACTTTGGTAGGTCTGAGAGGAGGTAGGTGATGTGAAAAATAAAAATGCAGATTAACTTAATGAGGGAATGAACTCATTACACAGGGGAAGTTGGGGCCCATGTTTAACATGATTTAAAAAATGGGGAAAACTGCTTTATCCACCTCAAAACGGAGAAGAGGGGATGAGCATTCACTGGAATGGTCTCTGCACACATGAAAGTTTCTAGATACATAGCCAAAATGATTAAAAAAATAAAAACTAAAATTAAGTAAATTAAATTGGAAAGAAAAACTTGATCAAGATTAGGGAGAATCAACAGAGTGTATTTATATTTGCCAATAACAAAAAAATTACAGTCACTAAACACTGAATTCTACTTTATAAACCAATCTGGAGCCAATGTGTATAGACACTCAAGAGTTTTATTTTAAAAAACACTCTATTTCCTTGATAGCCTTTCAAATATCCTTATTGGAAATAAAATGTACATCACAATATTATTAGTTTCTACCTAAGTTAGAGAAATGGTCCCTATGCCTTCCCCTTTCGTGAGGCCAAAATAAACCAGCTATTTCAGAGAACTGTCTTATATTGTAATTCAGTGTGGAAGAGGATGGAAGGTAACTTTAAGTGAGTAAATGACCCTGTTATCTAATTTTCTTCTTGATTTCAGCTGAACCTTGGCAGAGAAAGAGAAATGCCAAAGTAACATACATAAAAAGGGTCATTTCCAAAATATATTTCAAAACTCATGACACTGTCTTCTTTGTATAAAAACAGAAGCATTGCTAAATACATGTCCTCAAGCTTAGTGAAAACTTCAAATTTGCACATACATCTATGGCAGCTTTGTCAGGTCTCATTTACACACAGCGTATTATAAAAATCAAGGAAGTAAATTAACATGCACTTTGCAAGAACATGCTAATATTAATATTTTTCTACACTCTTTACTACATTTTGCCAATAATAAAAAGAAATGCTAATCCACGGAAGAGTACTAATATATGTACTCTGCAGGAATTAACCATTTGCTGACTCACAAGTGAAAGAGAAACTAGAATTTGGTAACTGGGTAAGAGGGCTGTATTTTCTTAGTTTTTAGAGCTCTGAATTGTTTTGGCTTATTGCTTTTGATCATGGAAATCTGATAAAACAACAGATAGGGAAGGATGTGCTTAGCCCAACATTGACCTTCTAGCTCCCACTCAAAAACCTCAGTTTCCTCTTACATTTTCCAGAAGGAAATTTGTTTCACAGATAAGTCCAGATTAAAATCTGTCTTCTATACAATCTGCAAGTTATACAGTTACCTCTATTACTTATGGTTAAATGTGTATTATGCATAAAATCACAAGTAAAACAACAAATTCTGTGACTGAGAAAAAAAGTTATCTTCTGTATTAAGCTAACTTGTAAGTATGTCTTCACAACTGAAAGAACTGGCCACTACAGTGAATTATTGTTACTCTGTGCACATTCTGAGAATAAGGCTTTACAGTGCCTGTTCAAAGTTGTATGAATGCAATATACCTTTAAGCCTAAAAGAAACAGACAGGGTTTTGTTTCAACATGAATTTGTGAAGCTGTTTCTGTTTCTGTTTTTCTTCTTACACAATTAACTAATCCATAATAGTTTTACTTTGGAGAAATATGTTGCACAGATTATTAGAACTATCTTAGATTTTTTAAAGTGTAATTATATATATTTTAATAGATCAGTTATTGTGATATCTTAATATCAAAGAGGTGAGAAACAGATGTAGAGCATTAACTTGAATCCTTTGGCACTGTTGAGAATGTTTCTTGTGACAAAGTTATTTGGCAAATATAAATAACTCCTTTTTTGCCAATACATATATATATATATAAACACATATATACATACAGATCTATATTTTAAAATTGGTTCCATGTTTGTCATTCAAGATGGCTTGTTTATAAAAACAAAACATTCACATTTAACATTGATAAATAGATAGGACCTGAGTTTACACATCCTTCACCAAAATTACAATCGATTTTTTTCAACATCTATGTGAAGGCTCTAATTTTAGAATTCCATTTTCTAGATGAGATTAAAAGGCTTAAAAATTATAGTAAGTAACTTTGTTAAAATTTTAGTTGTAAGACAAAGAAAGAACTTGAATCACAACCTTGTATGACTTTAAAGACCAAGACTTTCAAAAGAAAATCATCAATATGGTAACACAGGGTAACTGGATTTGAAAGAAAAACATGGATACACAAAAATAATATATACCGTTTCACAATTTATATGCATTTTGTAAATGTAATTTACAAATTTATAGATCATTTTTAGGATTTATTCAGGCACACATAACAGCTGAAAGGACAACCAATCTACAAGGTGTGATTATTATGTAAGTAAGGCAAAATCAAACTACTTAAAAAGATAGAAAAATACAATTACAGAATATGCAGATGTGTTGGGAAAGAACCACTGCAAAAACATAAGGACTGCTTTGTAAATATGGAGAATTCATTACGGTATTGTCTTTGAGGCATTCAACCTGTTCTAACTCCATGGGATATAAATGAGAACATGGTCAGCAATATATAGTCTCTCAATAACCACAGCTGAGGCAAAAGGAATCCCACAATCTATACACACACATAAGCTCACAAGGTCCCTACTTCCTGTCCTCAATACTCTCTCAGTCTCCCACAGGCATAGAAGCCACTCGCTACAGGTTCACTAAAATACATATAGAAACATAGCTGGAGCTATGTTTGCATAGCTCCAGCTCTAGAGCTATGAATCAGGATCACAGTACTCAAGTCAAAGCAAACAGGCTTAAGTCTCATTTCAAGATATCACAGGCTTTAACACAGGCAGGTTAACATTAGTCTCTTCACATATTTTACCACTTCTCATCGCCTTGCTGTTTTTATAGACTTACAAGCTTAAAATAGTTACTTTTACTTATAGTAAACATGCCTTTAAAAAATAACCATATTTTGAAACCAAAGAGTAGTTAACCCCTTACTTTCTGGTTTCTAATATCGCAAAATATGATAATATTCTTTCTTTTTAAACAAATGAATATGTAATTTGATCAGAAACACTAGCAAGTTTTTATATATGAGAGAAGAGACCATCAAGCATTAAATAATGAATCTACTTACTGAACAGACCATACAGCTTAGCTCTGATAGGCAAGACTAGGCAAGACTTGAAAGATTATACTTGGTAATGCTACCATGTACATATGCATGATTTTCACTCTGCTCACAAAGGACGAATACTTTTTTATTTTTTGAAGTGAAATGACAGAACAGATCATCTCAAAATCTTTTGTTCTCTACAAGTTATCTTTAGGTTTTGTTCCTTGGTAACTCTGCAAGTATGTGAAGCTGAACTTCATTAAACAGAAAATGAAATTCAGGAAATGTCTGATAAATATTTGAAAAGATCTCAACTATGCTTGTTAAGTATTCATTTCCCAACACATTTTGAAGCTAAAGAATCACCATCACCACAACCACTAGCATCACAGCACCATCACCACACTGCAAAACTTGGTATAAGAAGTAAAACCCTAGAGGAATGTCTTTCCTTCAGAAATTAATCATGATCGTCAAACATGATAGCATCAAATCCAAAAAATAAACAAGAACAGTAAATCTCGAAGCTTAATATGGTTTGTCATCAGAAGGTTAAATCACTGGCCTAAGTTTGAAAGTCAATAACACGAGAAAAAGCTATGTTACCCATTAACTGATGCATAAGGTACTTTCTTTATTTAGAACACTGCTAATTCAAACTCAAACAGCACTGTCCAAACTTCCTTGAGAAAGGCTACGTCTAAAGACTCACCTGCCACTGCACAGTGACAGTAGTGGCTGCAGCACAGATTTCATTCCAAATGGTACATACAAAGCCATTCCCAAGATTTTAGTGTTATAAAAATGGCTGTAATTGTACAAGTAAGGAATAGATGAACTCACCAACATTAAATAGAATACTCTCACAAATTTAAATGTACCCAATGCCTGAGTATAAGAGAACTCTCCCCAGGTCCCTATGGTCATTTTACTGACAAAATTAAAGGGGTACCTTATCTTGTGGATGGGTCTAAGAACAGAATAGATCATGATGTGGGTATTGTTACCTCCATCTTCATAGTAGTAATTATCTCCATAAACTTTGGCTCCAGAGAACTCTGGAATGTGTTTCTTTCTCTTTTTTTCTTCCTGTAACTCCTTTTCTTGCAAAAGGCGAGCTATATCCTACAAAGACAAAAGGGAATGGAAATAAATGTTTAGCAGGAGTAGGCTTGATAAAACAGAATCTGACATTCTACTGGAAAATTATTGCATGCTCTATTCATAGGTTTTCAGACTTCTGGCCACTAATCGCTGTTATTCAAACATCATAGACTACTCAATAGTTTGGATACATAATCTAGTTAACTTTTCTTTTCCAAATGAAATTTAAATCTAACTCAATCTAAAGATTTTCAAACCTAGCCCAGGCCACAGCAGGTTTACAGCAGAATTTTTTAAGATACTTATTTGTGGTCCTTCCTTCTAAGCTGAAAATCAAGTAAGTCTGGTTACGAAGTCTCAGTAACTTATTCCTTTGGAACTTTAGAAACTATATTTACTTATGTACATTGTATGTACATATAATTATATTTTTGATAATCTACTTTAAAGCCTTTAGCTATACAAAAATGTCAGACCCCAGAGTGAGTGAGCCACTGTTACAATTCAAAATGAGAGCAAAAGGATATAATGCCATCCAACACAAGCTACCCTATGAAATTTCTAGTACTTTTGAAAAATTATACCTAACTCCTTCTCATTTGACAGAAGATACTCATAAAGGAATAGTACCTATGAAAGTGATTTCTTTGGGTTTCAATTTTTAATGTACAATGAAACATTTGAACTATTCAATATTAAAGTAAAATGGTTTTAACACCTTCATTCGTTCATCTTAATAAATCTGTGTAAATTTTATCAGGTGCCAATACCTATACCAGATTCTTCATTTCTGATCTCTTAAGTTTTTTGTTGTTGTTTTTTGTTTTTGTCGGTCATGGGGCTTGAATGCTGGGCCTGAGCGCTGTCCCTCAGCTCTTCAGCTCAAAGCTAGCGCTCTACCATTTGAGCTATAGCGCCACTTCCAGTTTTCTGGTGGTTTATTGGAGTTTCACCAACTTTCCTGCGTGGGCTGCATTGAACAGTGATCCTCAGATCTCAGCCTCCTGAGTAGCTAGGATTACAGGCGTGAGCCACGGATACCCAGCTTTCTTAAGTTCTTTTCAAGTCAGTGGGAGTTGAGATGGGGAAGAATAGTATGCTCTTCCCTCCTGACCACTTTCCTATACTGTTGACTCTCCACATTCTGGTTAAATTTCCACATGTTGATACTCTTGACCAGAGAAGTAGAAAGAAAACATTTGACACCAGAGTTGTCATGTTTACTAAGCACCTAACGCTATTTTCCTAAGTAGTGTGTTTCCCCTCTAAAAATTATGTGAAAAAATATCAATGAACAGTATCAGACCCAACTTCCAGAAAAAGTGATTCAACTACATGTCTGGGACCTTACAATTGCTTTCCTGCTATTGAATTCAGTCCTAATGAAACCACAGTAATAAGCGGCTCTCCCAGTGTGAAAACCAGAAGAGAACCAAAAATTATGTCTCTTCTTTATAAATGTATTAATAAGCTAGTCAAGAAAGTACTTTTAATGAAGTAGAAAAATAATAACTTGCCAAATGCATTGGCACCCAAATCTTTTTGCTTTTCTAACCTATCAGCTCTTAAGCTTCTATCTGGGCAAGAATAGTCCAGTAGGTTGAGGAAGAAAAAGGTAGAGATTTGATGGAAAATTGCCCCTATACTATACATAAGGCTTATTAGGACAAGCCAGTTCTCCTTCCTGCTTTTCAAACTTACGAGTACAATGATGAGTTTAGCTAGGTATTTAGAGTGACTTTCTCTTAAACAAGCTAACCTGGCCATTATTTGACAGCATACTTGGATGAAGCTAAGCAGCTCAGTCACCCTTGATGTAAAGAACTCTTGGATCCTCAGCTTCCACCCTGTGAAAGGGTAGTCTAGACAACACTTTACAAGTTCTGTTCTGGAGAACACTGATCTCAACAGCTTCTCAAGAAAAAAGTATTCAATAGAAAAAAATACACTTAATATACTTAAATTAAAAGGTATACTTAAATTAAAAAATATACTTAATTCTTGAAAATGTACATTATCATATTTTAATTCTTGCATAAAGGAAACCTCAAATTTTTATATAACCTAGAATTTTCCAAATTTATGATCACTCATATAAAAAATATAGTTTGTGGAATTAGTATTCTATATAAAAGGAAAACATGTACTGAAGAACTCCTAACTCCTATTAAGAATTGGAATGGGAATTTACCATTGTATCTCACCTCTCCCTCATCTATTATGCAAGCTCACTCAACTATGGAAAATTTGAAACTCTAAATGCAAGAAAGGGTAGTTAATGATCTCAAGAATGTTAGAAAAAAAGCTATTTTCATGCAAACATCATGCAATGAGTCAGTAGGATATCAAATCGTGTGCTCCATGTCCATATCAGGATAAGGAATACATGCAAGGCTGAGGGATCTAAGACAAGCTTCAACATAAAAAGGTACACAGGAGCCCAAAGGAATCATGGTATTGAGCTTCTTAGGGTATTTCTAGGATGTATATGATTTACATCATCATTTCACCTTTAAGTTCAGCTGTTTTACAATAATAATGGGTTTCAGACAGAGGAAATCCTAAGTTTAAGAACAAAAGATTCAAAAATGTGATTAAGAACACTATCCCACCATTAGATTGCTAAGCTACTTTATTAACAATTAACATAGTAGCATCTCATTCAGTAGAGATCTCATAGAAGGTATAAAAACAAAAGATACAGAGAGGGAAGGGATGACACTGTCCAAAAAGAAATATACTCTTTACCTGACTTATGTAACTGTAACCCCTGTGTACATCACCTCATAACTGCAATACAAAATTAAATTTAAAAATAAAAGGATTATGCTAAATAAAACAGAATAGTGACATCCAATGTGTATAGTAAAACCATCAGTGTAAGACTAGAAGAGGAAGGAGTCCCAACTTGCAGCCTCCCACCCAGCTGCCTTTCTGCTCATGAGTACAGATTTATTTTTAAAGTGCCAAAACATAAGTTTAATAACTTATAGGTACTACTATATAAGCCAGTGAATAAATATCACCAGCTTGCATAAATATTACTTTAGATCAGAAAATTCCAGGAAGTGGTGCTGTGGCTCAAAGTGGTAGAGTGCTAGCACTGAGCAAGAGAGGATCAGGGAGAACACCCAGGCTCTGAGTTCAAGCCCCACCACCGACAAATAAACAAAAACAAAACAAAAACAAATGTCATAATATTCCAATTACCTAAAGTTCTATGAATAAGTACTATAGGTAATCAGAGATTCATTTTTTTAATGTAAGCTGGGAACTTTTATCATTAAATAGTTCAAATATATAGATGTCTTTAAGTTGTCAGACCAATGCCACAACCTCCCATGATGTTTGACCATGCTAATGTTTACTTAATGAAAAAAAAAAGATAAAAAAATGGTTTGCCTTATATTAAGTGAAGTAAGCCAGGCCCAAAGAAACATAGGTCCCATGGTTTCCCTTATTTGCAATATGTAGTATATGTCTGAGTCAAGCAGAAAAGGTCAGATAAGGTGATGCTAGGGAAATGAACCCTAAGATATGTATTCAAATGTTTTTTTTTCTTTCATGTGATTGTTTCTAATACATTTATAAGATTATTTCTTTGTTGCTTTGTATGTCCCTCCCCCACAGTATAACCCCTGCTTTCACTGTATTTGATGTCAGTATAATTTGTGGAGGGGAAGGGGAAAAACAAATTGTTTAAATAAGGATACAGGTGGACCCATTGCAACAAGGAGATGTACAAGTTGTTATGTCAAAAACGAACTTTACAACTTTCGTGCGAGGGGGAGGAGGCAGGGGAGGGGGGGAGCTGGAGGATTGGGGGTGGGGGGGGAGGATGGGAAGGGATGGGAAGGGGAAACAAAGGAGGAGGCAATAATGCTTGATAAGAAATGTACTCATTATCTTGCCCATGTAATTGTAACCCCTCTGTACAGTATGTTCACAATAAAAAAAAATCATTTTCCTAAAAATAATTCCAAATCCACATATATTTGACCAAGGTTTAAACATAATACACACACAAAAAAAACTCTACACAGTTTTATACAGAACATTTTATTTAAGAATAACTAAGTCTAACTGAACTCAGGATACTTCACTTTATTTAAAAAAAAATAAAGAATCAACTGGCAAATGCTTATGCCATGACTGAAGAGAAAGACTACAGTACAATTAATCTACCCATATAATCACAACCTCAGAGTACACTGAAAGGCTACAAGCCACTTCAACAGAACACCTACAGAGAAATTCAATCTCTATATTTAAGACAATACACCAAGGAGGTTTAAAAGGAAAATTAACCAATAAAAGATAGGGACAAGAACATGCAGAGTGAAGCAAAGAATGGAAAAGAGAGGAGAGGAAAAGAGAGGAAGAGGAGAGGAAAAAAGGAGAAAGATGTCCCAAATACTATTAAACCACTTTTCTGAGGGGCATCTGGGTTGATTCCATATCTTAGCTATGGTAAATAATGCTGCAATAAACATAGTTGTGCTGGTAGCTTTAGTGTGGTCTTGTTTGTGATCATTTGGGTAAATGCCTAAAAATGATATTGCTGGGTCATAGGGGAGCTCTATGTGGAGTCTTTTGAGGAACCTCCATACTGCTTTCCAAAGTGGTTGAACAAGTTCACACTCCCAACAACAATGCAGTAAGGTTCCCTTCTGTCCACATCCCCTCCAGCATCTGTTGTTTATTAGAGTTCTTGATTATAGCCATTCTAACTCATTTGGTCCCTGGCATGTTGATGGTACTTATTACTTCTTACTTCCGCTCTCTGCTAACAAACACAGATGATGTTGGAAATGTTCAGTCACACACACAAAGTTGTGTAACACCATTACAACTACAGTACAATACATTCAAAAAAAAATCTCTGACCCAAAGAAGAAATGGGCCTTAGTCTTTATATCTGGTTATTTTGGGAAGTTATAAGCTGCTCAAGAGAGTTTACCCCAAATAACTCTGAAATAATTAGGTAATAATCCAGAGAGGAATTTTCCACAACTGTATTATTAAATAACTAATTAGTCTACACGGAAGAAGAGTAAAGAGGGGAAAAAAAAGAACTAGGGCAGGTTATGTGGAAAAGGTAATGCTGACAAGAATTAGCACTACTGACTGTCGGTCTCCTCTGCCTCAAAGGTTGCTTGTTTCATTCTTTAAGAACAAATTTTATTAATGAAAATTCTATTCGTTTAATATTGGTAACATGCTAGTTAAGTAAGACTCACATTTTTCTATTAGAAAGGAACATCCTGGCACTATAGATAAGAAGAGGTGAAAAATGAACAAGACTTTGTTGTTGTTGTTTTGGCCTGTATTAATATTTGAACTCGGGGGCCCTATACATGCTTACCTTCCTTGCTCTGCTGTCACTTTACCACATGAATCACATTTCCAGCTGTGGAAACGTGATTATTTTGGTTATTTTGAAGTCTCATATTAGGTGTGAAAGAAGGTAGCGCAGACAATGCAAACTAACCTTTTTATATGTAGTAGTACAAATACATTCCACAAAAGCAAATAGTTAACTGTAAATTCAAGTCCTTTCAAAGTATTATTGCTAATTTCAATCATTCTCAGTTTTAAAAATAAAACTTAAGGGCTGGGAATGTGGCTCAGTGATAGAGTGCTTACCTTGCATGCATGAGGCCCTGGGTTTGATCCCACAGCACCACATAAGCAGAAAAAGCTGCTCAAGTGGTAGAGTGCTAGCCTTGAGCTGAAGAGCTGAGGGACAGCACCCAGGCCCAGAGTTCAGGCCCACAACCGACCAAAAAAAAAATTGTTTTAAATATATACACAGAATTAAATTACATATATCAACTGCTTATAGAAAAGTAAAACCAGCAATAAACAGAGTAAGATTAATGCCAGCTTCCTAACCTTTAACAAGAACTAATTCCTGATTCTAGTTTGAATTTTATTAAGGTCTGAAGGTGGAAAAAAACAAAACTACAACAACAACAAAAAAAAAAACAGAACAGAAAATGTTAGTGAGATCAACAGTAGCCTTATTTGAAAATGGAGACTTTGTGGATGAAAGAAGTTAAGCTGATCATTTGGATGAGGTCCTTAAACCAATTACTAATGTCCATATGAGAAGATATACACATGGAAGAAGACCCTATCACAAAAGAGGCAGAGACTGAAGTGGTACAGCTACAAACTCAAGACTGCTGGGGAAAGATAAAGAGTAAGTCCTCTTAAGAGGAAACACACCCCTACCAACACCCTGATTTTAGACTTCTAACCTCTAAAATTGTGAAAGAATAAACTTCTGTTATATTAACATACCAACCTGTGGTAATATGTTTCAGCATTCCTACTAAACAAATTATCAAATTATATCAAATTATCCATTATTATTTCTCAAACTTTTACCAGAGGTACACCTGTTCAAGAAACAAATGATCCATGGAGAGCAATGCTTGCACTATCACATTCCAAGTAAAAAGAATCTGCTGGCCACCCAGCCTCCAATGAATCAGTTACACACAAAAGGCTTTTGCTGAAGAGCTGGGTACCCCTTCCTCCATGGGTGAGGGGTTCTAACTAAGTTATACCTCATCCTTCTTCTCCTGAATGCGGCGTCTCTCTGCCTCGATAGTCAGCTTCTCTTGAATTTCCTGAGCAATTTCACAGTCTTGTTGTTCACTACAAAACAAAGGTAAAATTAATAATAAAAATAAGGAATAGTGTTAGTAAAACATAATTAACATTGTTTACTGTATATTGGGAACCCTCAGATAGTTTTACCTCACTTTACCCTCATGATAATGACATATACAGGCTGATAATTGTCAAACTGTACAGAGAGAAAACTGGGCTCAGAAACATTAAGTCATTTCCCTCAAGATCACAAAGAAGATATATGGCAGAAACAGTGTTTAATCCTACAGACTACAATGGAATGATCTAGCTTCTTCACCATATCATATCACACTAAGGGGCCTTTTGATGGTAAACAAGCATTGTTTCCAGGAATTCTGCAAAGGTTTTATATGTAAATGAATACACACACACAGATTAATGCCCCCCTAACATCCAAATATATACACAGAAAAAGTCTGCAAGCAATGTTCAACACTGAGAATAGAGATAGGAGAAAATGCTCCTTTAGCTTTTTGAAACCCCTCATACATCTTAGCAGAACAAAGATCCTTTAATACAGTAATGTCAGAAAAGCTATTTCACAGAAAATGAACGCTGATTTTTCTCAGAAACATCACCCAGGGTGCCCCTACCTACAGAAGTCTTCTGATTTTTGCTTTTAAAAAAATTTAGAAACTTAAAATTCCAAAATGTGATTATCTCTGGAATGTTACCTTTCATACAAAGTCACTAGCTAAGAAACTAGTTAGGAAGCCTAAAAATTTGCCAGAATAAAAGTCTATCTGTAATTTATATATGCAGTTAGTTTGCTAAGTATATATATATATCATTCTCCCCTTGTCAACTGAACTTGAAATATTCAACAAGACTCAAATTTGTTCATATGTTTTATGTTTAATGTCAGTCTTTTGTAATTAAAAACAAGGATCACATGAACTATTTTGTAACTTATTCTTTGGAGAATAAACCCAAATATTCTAACAACACTGAAAATACAAAACTAATTCTCATGTGTATAAGACAATGGTCATTTTTGTAGTACTGGGGTTTGAACTCAAGGAATAAGCTTGCTGAGCAGGAGCTCTACCCACCTTGAGCTACACCTCCATGCAGGAAATGGAAATAAACAGGTGAATTTATATAAGTATGCACACACACTAGATGTGTATACACAAAAAAGCAGAAAGAAAGCAAGAGATTACAAGCAAGAGAACATAAGCCAGAAAGAGGAAAACACGTATTTAGAGCCAGAAGAAAAAAATAAGAAGTCTGTAGATCCGATTTGTGTGTGTGGGGATAGATCCGGGTGTGTGCGTGTGTGTGTGCGCGCGCACGCGTGTGTGTGTGTGTGTGTGTCCGTGTGTGTGTGTGTCGGGGTGTGTGTGTGTGTCTGTGTGTGTGTGTCCGGGGTGTGTGTGTCCAGGGTGTGTGTGTATGTGTGTGTGTGTGTCCTTGCACACACATGCTCATCCTAGGGCTTGAACTCTGGGCCTGACTACTGTCTCTGAGCTTTGTGCTTAAAGCTAACACTTTATCACTTGAGCCTCAGCTCTACTTCCAGTTTTTGGTGGTTAATTGAAGATATGAGTCTCTTGGACTTTTCTACCTGGACTGGCTTTGAACAACTATTCTGTTACTACAACACTTTTCCATTTCAGTTAATCAGCTGTTAAGTGAATGATTTTACATCTAGGATTCAAATTTGATTTGAATCTAAGATTCAAATCAAAAAAATAAAAATCTGTTTATATTTCCTCTTATCTATTTATATTTATGTAACTATATCATATTTATGTTTCCTCTACATTCATTCACTTCCTTAAAATAATAAGAACCATGGTACTAGTTTGAAAGACTTCTACCTGAACCTCCCAATGAATGTAAAGTCCATACAGGAGGCAGCCGCTACTGACTACACACAGGTAAACTCAAACAAAGCTGTTCAGGTCTCAGGTGATGGGGATGCTGCAGCTCCTTGTACAGAAAGAACACAAATTTTCAGCTAAGCTTCATGATTTCTAACTGCTCCAAAAAGGGTTGGCTCTAGCTCCATCAGCTAAGTATAAAGAACCACAAGGAAGTAAAATGAGGTGCAAAAGGGATAGTGAGGGGCTGGGAAGGTGGCTCAGTGGTAGAGCACTTGCTTTGCATGCCTGAGGCCCTGGGTTCGATTCCTCAGCACCACATAAGCAAAAAGAAAAAAGCCGGAAGTGGCGCTGTGGCTCAAGTGGTAGAGCACTAGCCTTGAGCTGAAGAGCTGAGGGACAGTGCCCAGGCCCAGAGTTCAGGCCCCCCAACCAGACCAAAAAAAAAAAAAAAAAGTACTCATTACCTCAACTGATATAACTGTAACCTCTCTATACAACATCTTTACAAGAAAAAAAAAAAAAAGAATCACACTCTTTAATGCATGGAAAAAAAAGTAATTTCCATGGGAAAGTTCTATTCTTTTAAATTCTAATACCACTAGGTTTAAGTTGAGTCATTGTATTTTACAGAATTAAAGTATTTTCAAAATAAACTAGTTAACTTCCTCATTTGATAGGTGAGAAACTTGAGGATAAAGAAGAAGAGAGTTTTACTAAGACTATACATAGGGCACTGGTGACAGGAACTGGGAGTATGCTACACCAGGAAAATCTCTTTTCTTCTCTAACATTATACCATTCCTTGTCTCCCCCCAGAAAGAAACCACAGCCAAAAAATCTCAAGATATTTTCATATTAATATACACTCTCTAAAGGACTTCAATGAATTGATCCTTAATTGGGGCTTAATTTATAGAAGATGGATTTGCCAATATAACCAAGTTTTATGTATATTAATGCTATTATAAGGGTTGGATGCTTGGCACAGTTGATGGGATGCTAGCAAATGATCAAAAACATCAAGTATCAAGTTCAAGTACCAATCTCCAAACAACAAAATGAATGCTATTGTAGCACAATACTTACTGGTTGGAGTAGTTTTATTATAATAAAAGAGCTAATGCTTGTATAGTAGATTAGTTTTTTTGGATTACTCATCAAGTAATATTTTCCAAATCATGAATGCCTATCATTAGGTCATAAAATCAATTTACTACATCTGGCACAAACACTTAAATATTCATAGGCTAGAAAATAACAAAATTAACATGTAATATAGGTGACTATGGTTTAGAAAGAGCAGTTTTCACTATTTTGTGTATGTATGTATGTATGCATGTATGTATGTATATACATATAGTACCTACATATATAATCATGTGATATTTGTACTAGTTCACAAAACAGATTATTCTGTAGATTATACTGAAAAAACTTCAAAAGATATTTCAACTTATGTTATTAGGCCATCACATTATGTCAAACACATATTTTATGTGTGTTTCAAATCATGCTGATTAAAATTAAAATTATAAATTATTTGTAAAGGGATGGGAAGGGGAAACAAAGGAGGAGGCAACAATGCTTGATAAGAAATGTACTCATTACCTTGCCCATGTAATTGTAACCCCTCTATAGGGTATTTTCACAATAAAAATAAATAAATAAATAATTTGTAGTTTTCCATGTAGAGTATCGTATGCCTGCAATATTTATATTTTGTTTTTAATACATTAAAACAAAAGATACATTGTTTATGGGCAGATATATCAGAATTAAAAACTTGGTTTTTAAATATATATCTTGACACAAACTAAACTGAAAGTAGTGGTAATCCTAGAGAGATGAAAAGGGGCATGTCTTAGCATTAAGCAAAGGTAAAAAAATAGGCAAAATATTGACATGTATGTGAATGGTGGGTTCCTTTTCCTGTTTTTTCATTTGTTCTGTTTCAGTTCTGGGGTTCGATTGAAGAGTTTGCACAAGTTCCTAATATTAAGCTATATCCTCAGCCCACACATTAGGTTCCTGGCTTTCAGTATTTTCTGTGCTTTTTGTTTTGTAATGTGCTATATATAAACCATTTCTTTTTAAATTATATAATTAAGTCTAACTTTTAATCCATTGATTCCATTTCATTAATGGCATATATTGCTAAACTATGTAGGAGCTTAAAAACTGCTTTTTCTAAAAAGGACTGACTCCAGCTTAGGACCACAAGTTAAGTAAAAGCAGGATAAAAAGGCAGTGCAACTTAGGCCCACAAGAAAAAGCAGGATAAAATGGCAGCCCATCTGTCTTCTCTGTCTTCTCTTAAATCTTTGAGTCAGATTCTGCCTAATTGCTGTAGGCATGTTATTTAGAAGTTTTGTTGTTGTTGCTGCTGCTTTTGTTTTATTTTTGTCTTGCTTGTTGGTTTATCTTTGGGAGAATAATGGGGAGGCAAAGAGTGAACAAATACAACAGTGGTACTTATTAGACACAAGGAAAATGAACTGTACACCTTGTGGGTGAGGATGGGAGGGGAAAAAAATAGGAGAGCCCAAGGCAAGAGAAGACATGGTTTAAAAAGAATTGTACTCATTTGACTCATGCAACTGTAACCCCTCTGTATATCACCTCTACATAACAATAAAATATATTAAACATTTAAAATTGTTTAAAGGTATGTATCTAACAAAACTGAAGGCTTCAAAGTTAAGAGTAAGGAAGGTGTTTTACAACCAGCGGAACCCCCACCAAAGAACTAAAAATCTCCAGTCATTGTCCTAACATGCATTCACCTCCAGATCCAGAAGCAAAAGTCACCACCCCGCTACACACACACAAGTAGTAGCATTCATCTCGTGGGAACCAGATTGCCCCCCAGTAAAGACTTCTTCCAGCCACCTTGCTGGACCAGAATTGAGATAAAGATCAACAGATCATAAAAGACCGTGTTCAGGCCAGGACTGTTTATGCTGTCTCTTGTCCCTTGCCCCAGTTCTTCCTCTGTTTACATCAAAAGCCACAACAATGGTTGAAATGCTTAGTCTCCCTCTTCCCATGTCCACCCTACTATGCATGTCAATAAATCTTCCTCTGCACTTTACTACTGCATCGCTTCAACTACCATATTAGGGCTAGTGGCCAACAGGCTAGAACCCTCTGGTCTCTCCATTCCCTTCCCCTCAGCTACTACCAGGGAGTTGGGCCTCTGGATCAGGACTGGTTACAAAACCAAACACAGAGAAGGGTTTGGTATGTACAAAGATTATTGATTACCTTCGGGCTTTTTAGAAATGATTTTTAAATAGCCAAATAGCTAAAGCAAAATATATCCAATTACTGTGAACTGACCCCGAATCTTCTACTGAAAGAGGCTGAACTGGTACCCAAAGGTATGATCAGGGCCTGAGCTAGAAGAGGACCTTGAAGATTCAATGACACTAAGGAAGTGTCTACCTTCACACAGGTGTATTATCAAGCACACTGACAGATATGGCATCTCAGAGTTTACTAAAACCTTTCAAATAGTCATTTACTCTGAAATTTTGTGTGTGTGTGTGTGTGTGTGTGTGTGTGTAGAAAGAGATAGACAGATAGACAGACAGACAGACAGACAGACAGATATAGTTTTATGGGGTTTTTTGTTGTTTTTTGCTTTTTCATTTTGTTTTGCTTTTGCCAGTGGTGGAGCCTAAGGTCTGGGGCTGGGCACTGTTCCCCAGCTTCTTTTGCTTAAGGCTAGCACTCTACCACTTCAGCCACCGCTCCACTTCCAGCTTTTCTGAGTTTATTGAAGATAAAAGGTCCATAAACTTTACTGTCTGGACTGCAATCCTCATATCTCAGCTGAGTAGCTAGGACTACAGGTGTGATCCACCAGCACCTGGTCCACAATGTATTTTTTTTCAAGACCACGAAATATATTTTCCGAACCATTACTCTAATATAAGCTAGAAAAGAGTCACAAATTCAATCACCTTTGTAAATCAATAACTAGACTGGAATGTGGAACACACTTCACCAGAAGGTCAAGTTTAGAGTATGGACTGAACTTTGTTCTTAGTCTGGCACACTGCACTTGAATAGCTCAATGTATCTTAAATATACCTGAGGACACATTTAAGATATTCATTTGGAATCTATTTTAATCTTCCTACTTCTCAAACCTTTTCCCTCCAGGCTCATTTTCACTCAACCACAACTTAGTCTTGACTAAATGCTATCAGCACAACCCAGCTTTTTTGTTTATTGTCCTAGTCTGTTACTAAAAGGAGATTCTACACCACGTTTAATTCACAACTATTCTTGTTCCCACCAACACTGACAGTCCCTTAGCCCCTTCCCTTTACCCTAACCATTTCTCCAAAACTACACGATGATAGCTAGCCAAGTTATTTTACCTGCTTCCAAGCTTAGAAGATCAACATATAGATGTCATCTACAAAGGCAGACAAGTGTCCCCCTAACTGTCTGTAAAGAAAACAGAACAGGCAATAGCTATGTACATATGACCATATGAAATGATGCTAAGTGAAATGAACTCCAAGATAAGGAAGCAAGAAGGTTTTTTGTTGTTTTTAATGTACTATGTGAAGTTACTCTCCCTCCTCCCCCACCCCACCCCCACTTTGGTCTATGTGCTGTTGTCACTGTTTTTGATGTTGGTATCCTGTGTCTCATATATACTTTTATCTGATTTGGGGAAGGGAGGCGAAATAACAAAATGGTGAGACAAAGGGTGAACCAATGCAACAGCAACATTCGTAAGATATCGTGTTGAAAATGAACTTTACTATCTGGAGGGAGTTGGAGGGAGGGAAAGTGGGAGAAAAATGAGGGAGTAACAATGTTTGATGAGAAATGTATGTATTATCTTATTTATGTAACTTTAAACACCTTTACATCACCTTTACAATGAAATTATTAAAAAAAAATAAAGTATAACAGGGGCTTTGTGAGGTAATCTCTTGATCTTCTAAACTATTAATGTGTATATACAGTGGGACTCATTCAGTTAAAGATTTTCCCTAAATATCCAAACTCTCTTGAAGCCATTTAATAAGCACTCTTTTACTCAATAAATTTATTAAGCTCTATGTTTCAGTATAAGTCATCTACAAATCACAAAGAGGTGGAGATGAATGAAAAGTTAAATAGGCTAACTTAACAACAGATGTCATACTAAAGACCTATAGTAATACTAAAGGTAAAAATATTTGAGCAGTGAAGCTTGTTAGGAGTTGGAAGGAGGAATAATAAGAAGTGGACTTGGATAGTGTCTCAGATGCCCTTTAAATAATGTGTGAAATGGACTGCAAAATAAGGTTAAAACTCTCAGATGCAGAAATGTTCAGCATGATGGCAGAGGGAGCAATTACAGAAAAAAGGATGCAAAAGACAAAAAAAAATTCACCAGCAATGTACTTAAGTGACTCAGAAATGCATCTGAATGGCAGTTACAGCAAGGGGGATGAGCTAGAAAGAGTCTGTGAGAATGAGAAACAATGAGAAACAAATTCTACCCAGTATTCCTCATTTACAATGTATAGACCAAAGGAAATCTGGTATTTATTGCCATTTTTTTCCTTCTTCCTGAGTCTCTAATACCATCATTCTTCTGTTTGCTTCCTCATTATTTTTCCCTATACAGAGATCTGTTTGACAATTTTGTCTCCCAGCTCTAGGAAGAGCCTGCTCCCCATTCTCCTACCAGTAACTAGGAAGCTTTCATATATACAGTGAAAGAACTGCTTCTCCTTTCACAAAGCAGAGCACCCTCATCAGTTCACTCCTTGGAAATTGCCAGAAAGAAGAAACTACATTTCTATACTCTACTAACTAATAAGGTAAGTAAATAAAGAAAAAGAAGCATCAATAACTTAAATGTCCCCTGAAATTCTGGTTCAATGAAAACAAGTTTAAAGTCCTACATTAGTATTTCAACCTGGGGTTTCTTGGTCATTAACAACTGCACGTGGTGATTCCCTCTGAGCCTTCTACCAATAAAGAAAACCTCCATTTTACATACAATATACAAGATTGATATTTTTTAAAAGTTCATTTTAAACAAGTTTCTCTCTTCCCACTCAGAAATAATATTCTCTTTAAAACCTGTTTCAGAGACGTGATTTAGGTTTAGAAGTTAAAATGAAAGTCACTGAATCCCCTTATCATTTTTCGTGGATAAACAGAAGTTTCTTTTCCAGTTGCTATCACAAGTATGCATATGCATACATGCATGTGTTCACACACATGATAAAACAGATACCTTGCTTAATCTTCATGAACATATTCATGAATTTTAGCCAAGAATCAAGGACTTTATTTATACTGGTAACACATTTGGAGAAAAAAAAAAAAAAAACCTTGGGATCATTTGTCTAAACTATTTTGCATAAAAGCTTAAGTTCCAAACTAAATTGTACTCCTGTTAGCCAGAACTCTTTCTTTCACTACAATCACATATGCAGTATGAGCACACATCATGGCTTAGGACATTCTCTTATTATATTTTATAAGTACACATTTCCAACTCTTTTGCATTTAACTCTACACAAGTGAAAATCATTTTACTTTTGTCATTCTTTATCTACACCTCAACTCTGAAAGTGTAATTCCTGGGAGGGGGGAGGCTGGGAAGGGATGTGAAGGGTAAACAAAGGAGGAGGCTGCAATGCTTGGTTAGAAATGTACGCATTATCCTGCCCATGTAATTGTAACCCCTCTGTACAGTATCTTCACAAATAAAATTAAATTAAATTAAAAAAAATGAAAGTGTAATTCCTATAACTCAACCACTACAAATTTCTAGCCACATAATTTTGAATAGATTGGTAGTACATTCATTCATGATTTCTTTCAACCAGTTCTGTTTTACTTCTTATGGAATGATGGAATTTTATGAATTGTCTTGCTTTTTTGTAACAAATAGACTATACGCTCATCTGTAAACATAGAAATACCCTCGATGAACAAGGAAAATATTCCAGAAACACACTCTATATCTTTAAAGTACAAGAAGCAGCTATAGTTAACATTTACATGGAAATTTGTAGATTACATTGCACTTTCACTTTTACTCCTAATCATTTAAAATAAGTTCTATCAACATCTTCACTTTACCTATTAACAGAGGTTGGCAAGAACACAAACAAAATTGTAAACACTCCACCTCTCGGCTCAAATATTTCTGCTCAAAAAACAGAGAGGGGATAGGGGGAGAGGGAGAGGGAGAGGGGGAAGAGGAGAAGGAGGGGAGAGGGAGAGAGAGAGAGAGAGAGAGAAATGGACCTATGTATACATATATATATAATAAAATAAAAATGAGTAAAAGTGATACAAGTAGTCAAAAAGCAAGTTCTAAGTCCTAAAACAGAAAAGATGAAACATTTTGACCCATTATTTCCTATGCATAGACCTTTTAGCAATGAGTTAGCCAATATTTAGTCCAAAAAACAAGAACAATAAAAGCTTCCTTTAATTTGCATAGTGTTTCATAAGTGACCTAAGAAAATCTTCTAGTGTCTACAGTGGAAAATTTAAGAAAATTCTCCCTTTGAGATACACCAATCTACCAACCCTCTCTCTGGTTCTTCATATGGCATCAAGACTTTCCTTCTCTTTGAGAAGGCAGGGAATTACTAAATTCTGAACTAATGTACTAATGTACAATTTAAACTAATAGCCAACATATATACACTCCTACACTTTTGTTCAACTAAAACAGAAATGTCTCAGTCTATCAAAGTCCATTCTTAGACGTTTTTCTTAATTTTTTTCTTAAAATTACCAGGTGGAAAGAAATTTGGATGTCAGAAAACTGTACACATGACAAACTGTCTATGCTTGCTGTTCCAACCAAGTTTGTATATTTGGGGACAAAGATGACATCAATGTCTTCACTAACAGCACCACCAAAACCAATCAAAACACCATCACTGCCAATCCAGCTAGGGGCAGTCACAAAGTTCTTAGAGATGCTAAGCTATAGGACAACCTCCTAACTGTCCCAATTATGAGCCTCAGAGCTGCTAGTCACTATCAGGAAGAAGGCTGAAAATCAAGAGGGTATCTAAGCAATGTTTAAGCAATTTATCAGCTATAAAACAAAGGGTAATTGAAACCTTTGCTCCTTCTCCCTCAGTGCCCTAGAATTTCCATCTCACTGAAATAATTTTTTAAAAAATATGACACAAAGAGGGATTGACACCTAATTTTGACAGAGGCTGAGCAGATGGGTGGCACAGGGGTCCTGTCCTCATTTACTCCATTCCTAGCGGTCAACAGGAGGGCTACTTTTCTAAGTCTCCAAATCCCTTGTTGGTTCCAATCCGCCATGGTTACCCCATCTGTCGAGGAGAGAGATGATTTTTCTGAACGGAGATGCAGTTAGATGCACCTGCCTGTAGTTATTTCTTAGTACAACTACTACCCACAAAGTACACAGATTTCCGTGATTCCTTTGTGAAAGACAAAACAAAAGACCTGCTACATTCTACACAAGTAAAAGAATTGCAGGATCAAGAAATATTAACCAATACTACAACTGTTTAGGGATGATTAGTGGTTTGGGTTTTTATTTTCAGTGGTCTGGTGGTTGCTGGGTGTAGAGCAAAGAGAATGGGAGAACCTTGCTATGATAGGAAACGCTCAGACACTATCACATAGATGGGGAAGGAGCCTACTCTATCAATACCCACTCACACCCTCTTTGCTGTCTAAACGACTCACTCCACAATTTAAATGTTATTATTTCTATCAACTCAAATTTATACTTTATACTACATGCAATAAAAAAAATCAATGGAGCTGGGAATGTGGCTTAGTGGTAGAGTGCTTGCCTTGCATGTTCGATTCCTTAGTACCACATACACAGAAAAAGCTGGAAGTGGCACTGTGATTCAAGTGGAGACTGCTAGCCTTGGGCAAAAGCAGCTCAGGGTCAGTGCACAGGCCCTGAGTTTAAGCCCCAGGACTGACCAAAAAAAAAAATCAGTCAGTAACAATGATTGTTGTCCATTCTTTCTTTAATGTGTCATAGCACATGATATATTAACTTTGGCATTAATCATAGTTAAACGATTTTATATATCCATTTCCCTAGTATATATTTTAAGTCCTTAAATAAGGGGAAAATCTTATGAGTCATTTTTATCTCCAATGTTCTTATCAGGGTCTGGCTTGGGATTTTCCCATAAATGTTTCTGAAAAGAATGGCTCCTGAGAACAAAGATGGTTAAATATTCACTATATAGCATAAAACACTGATTTTTTTAATTCACAGCCATACAGCATATTGACTCATTCAAATTATTTGCCTTACTCAAAACAAGGCTAAAAAACTATATGCCAGTTCATGTTACCTCAAATGACAGTGAATCCTATCACTCCAAATCTCAAGAGTATTTTAATGGATAGGTATCTGAGAGAATCTGAGAATACCCAGAAACATTTACTCAGGCAAGTGACCAATTTATGGTATCTTTGAACCAAAACTGAAGTCATCACTGTATTTGGAGGGAGGGGGAAGAGATTTGGAATAATATACTGATGATCATATAGATTTTTTTAAATGGCAATGTCCAGATTAGAGCCTAATATTATAGAATATCAGTGTACTTATATAGTTAAATCAGTTTCATTCAGCAGCAATTACATCAGAAAGGAGAAATGTGAAATCTTCACTTTATTATATGTGCTATGATACACTGGAAACAAACATACAATGAAAATAAACTCAGGTTTTAAACACACACAGAAAGTAATCTAAAAAGCAGAAAATTTGATTTAATCCCAACATTTCACTTTCGTAAAATTTATCAAAGGAAGTTTCTAAGTGTGTCCTTCCCTCCTCAATTCCCTAAATTCAGAGTGAAGTAAAAACCCCAGTAACCTAAACCACTTGTTTGGCAGGAAGACTCATTTTAGCTAACCACAGACAGCAGATTGCCGGCAAGTGGTTTGTGAAAATGCTGAGATAATGTAAGTCATCAAGTCAGAAGTACTACTTTAATATCACAAACCATCCAACATCATTATCAGAGACCACAGATCACTGGGTAACTTATTGGAAAGTAGAAAATGGCTGAATCAGAAATTTCCATTTGACAGGGCAGGAGAAGAACCATGAAGGAGAAGAGACAGAGGAAGTACCATAGAAATAAAAGCCATTTTTACTCATACCAGTAGTACCGTGGGAAAGAGAAAAAACTTTCCACATGGGACTCAAGCTACCATAAATGATTTTTTAAAAATACATATAACTTCACAGGCTTCCTATATGTGGCATAGACATGAACTTACAGACTGGTGTTATCATGAAGCCAAAACTTTTTTTGATGTCAATAATGAAGTAAAACATATATTCTCAGAAAACACAGATGCATATATTAACATGAAACACTGAAGTTTAACTCCTTTCCTTCTCAAAGAGACTCCATAATCTAAAAGGAGATTAAATGAAAAAAATCACTTAGTCTGAGCTCTCATCAAAGCAAATCTTGAATTGTTTTTTTAATCCCACACTTCAAGTGGTCCATCAAACTGCAAGTGATACATATTCCAAATGGTCTAATGTTGTATGAATCGTGTATCAGAAAGACTTCTTCCTTAAACTAGACTAAAATCTGTATGTTCTATCATTATTATCATTATTCTAAAGTCTATTGTCCTCACTTCTTCCACAGTATGTAAGTCACATGTAGTAATTTCAATTTAAAATTAAAATTTAAAAATTCAATCCTCAGTTTCATTAACCACATTTCCATTGCTAAATAGCCATATGAGGCTAGTGAGTGTACAATACTGAGTATCTTCAGCACCACATTAAGTCCTATTGGTTAGCACTGCTCTAGACAATCATCAGAACATGACCCTGCTTAGGCAATGACCCTGAGTGTGTGTGTGTGTGTGTGTGTGTGTGTGTGTGTGTGTGTGTGTGTGTGTGTGTGTGTGTGTGTGTGTGTGTGTGTGTGTATGTGTGTGTGTGTGTGTGTGTGTGTGTGTGTGTGTATTGTACGTATGCATGTATGTAGAAACACACTTACATTATAACCAAGTTATAATTTACTTTGGCAACCAAACTGTCCTGACAACCAAGAGTTCTGAGTATATTACAGCTCTTGTGCGAGGCACCAATTTATCTTCAGAGTGCTTGTATACTATATTCCTTATACTTTTCTTTTCCTGAGTAGTTTTGTTCACCTCAGCAGGGTCAAAGAGAAAATATTATTCTACATTTACATGATAATCGCTGTGCAGCTACAATCACAGAGAAAGTGAAGGGAAACAGGTATTCGGCATAGCTAAAGAAGTTTATTTTGGTTTTCTGTTTTTGTTTTTTTGTTTTTGTTTTGTTTTGTTTTTGTGGTACTAGAGTTTGAACTCAGCCTGGGTAGGAACTCAACCACTTAAGCTATGCCCCCAGCCCTAGAATTTCAATTCATAAAACGTAACTGCTATTGAGTAAACTTACCAAATATCTAATTCTGTACCAAATACGTACCAATGGACATTGGCAAATATGTATATTTAGGAATTTCAACCTGCTTTGAAAATTAAACTAATTACAATTGAAAGGAGCAGTCTCCTAAATTTATTGCTAACCCTGTCTTCTTAAAATAACAATAACTTTTTACATGGGTCATCTCCTCCAGAACAATTCAGGAATATTTTAACGTATAAAGCAACTATTTTACTGCTAGTATCATAAAAGTGAGTAAAATATAAGAATTCTGCTATTTTTAAATGCTCAGTTCATTTTGAAGTATTTTATGACTTACAAAAGTTCCTAATTCGGGGCTGGGAAGGTGGCTCAGTGGTAGAGTGCTTGCCTTGCATGCCTGAGGCCCTGGGTTCGATTCCTCAGCACCACATAAGCAAAAAGAAAAAAGCCGGAAGTGGCGCTGTGGCTCAAGTGGTAGAGCGCTAGCCTTGAGCTGAAGAGCTGAGGGACAGCGCCCAGGCCCAGAGTTCAGGCCCCACGACTGGACCAAAAAAAAAAAAAGTTCCTAATTCGGCAAAAAGAGATGGATATGAAAACTATGAAATTCTCAGTGTTTTCCATAGAATAATGCGCACAACACGGGCTCTGTGAGATACTTAGTAACAGACACTGCATAATGAACCAATCTTGCTCAACACTCCCTACGTAAATAATATTGTGTCACCTATTTGTTCACCTATGAGAAAAATAATAATCATCAATAAGTACCTGAGCAGTGCAGGGAATTAAAATTTTAAGATACTCACAAATTATCCTCCTAAGAGACCATCACACCTATGTACAAAACAATTTATTGATAGATGGAGAATGATAAGAAGGTTGATATTGCTCAAGATGCACTGTACTCATAATGTGACTTACAGAGATGAAACCCTTTTGTACAACTAGTTAAAAAAATACATTACTGATTGTCACAATGCACATTCAAAAGTGTAGATGGCAGTATATGAGCAATAGTAAGCAGAATCTTGTCAAAGCAGTATTTTCTCTAAGAATATCCAGACAAAACTTATTTATTCTATTTTGGGCCCACGTATCCCTAAAGCAACTCCAACCTTCTACTGCTGTATCCCAATTTGAATGGCACTTTTCCTGGCGCTTAAACAAGCCTTCAAATGGTTTGGCAGCCAATTCTCTGTTTGCCTTAGCCTAGAAAGAAAAGCCGCGCATTTTCTCAAACCTCTGTAGAATGAATCCAGTGATGCCCATTAAAAACCAAAAGATCACATCCAACCCAACTTAAGTACAAGTTTACACCAGGGGAAGAAACCCATTTTGGTTTATTGGCTTTGTATGACAAGAGAGTTGCCTTAAGTACTGGCTTCTGCACGCCCTTTTTATCCTTGAGTCAGATATTTCCACTTTCAAATTCTCTTGTGCAAGTAGATATTTTCTAGCACTTTACTTCATATAAAGCTAGTAAATTAATTTTAATTTCAAAAAAAAATCAAGAAATTCTTCAAGTTCTCCAACAACTTTATTATAGTTATAATAAGATAGTAGATAAAGTAAAATATTTTTAGAATCTTGCTTCCATAAAATAAACTACAAAACTCATAGTTCCATTTTGGTCACTACTTGTCAGAATTCTATAAACATTTCCAGTGACCTACTAGTATATAAATCAAAACTTAAGGAAAAAATAAGTCGATCTTCAATATTTCTTATGTCACTATATCATAACTAATTGGTCATGTTCACTAGAAATACTGAGTCGGTAAGTCTCTGGAGGTCCTGGGCTTCTTTCTAGAATCATATTCAATTTTACAGTAATCTTAGGTAGTGTCTACACAGAAGATCAGAAGACTTGTCTTCCTACATCTGTTTTCTAATA